ATTCTTCCCTAGCAGAGACCCCGCAGCCGGAGCGGAGCCGCTGCTGGCACCAGCGTGCTCCCTGCCTGCTCTTGCATTAACGCTCTTCTCTTTTCTTACCTGGCAATAAGGAACAGGGTTTTGCTCACCTGGCAAGGGCTAGGTGGCATTTTCCGACCCCAGGGGCAGCAAAGCACCCCCATCTGTCCTGCAACGAAAGCAGAGAGACCCAGATGCTGATAGGAAAGCGTGGCACAAAAACTTGGGGGCTAAGAGGGTGCCGTGACAGACTCCTCTGTCATTGGTGAAGCCTGATGATTACGAGCCAGAGCGGAGTCCTGACACTAACAGGAGCATATGCGCTGTCCTGCGGCTCTGTGGCTGAGGTACCCTTGACTCATTTAACACGCTGCACAGCTGTTTACAACGGCTGTTCACCAGTACGGACAATCGGTGGCAACAACCGGAACCGTAAAAGCATCTAAAGGGCAGAACAAACACGACGAATAACTTTCTTGCCGTACGCTCCCACCTTTCAGTCCGTGAACCAAGAGGCACGTGCTGCTTTGCGTGAGGAAGCTGCCCCCTCCCCTGCTCAAACCCGGGCCGCTGCCGCCGCTCAGCACTCGGCCGGATCTGTCGTAATCCCTCCCCTCGCTCTCCAGAAGGAGCGATTTGGAAATCATTTCATAGCTACAGCTGGGATAAGCCACGAGGCTGAGGAATAAAAGCCACAAAACTAAGTTGAGACACAGAAAATATACTCCATGCTACTGTCGGGAAGCCCGCTGGGCTTCACAAAGGCCGAGAAATTAATTCTCCCACCACCTGCAAAATAAGAAGTGTATGTCAGCGAAATATACATATGTCCGTGTCAGTGGAAGTTGGTCACTCACCTGGTGTGGTACTTCCAGGATGAGGCTCAAAGCCCCACAGATCTTTGCACATGTTTTGATTATTTTAGCTGCCATCCTCTTGAAAAATAAGATATAGGCCATATGTTTGTGTCCCTGCAAGTCATGCATAAGTAGAACTTCAAACACTTGCCAGGCTTGGGCCTTGCAGCCCACCCAGGGCAACAGCCAGATTCTTAAAAGTCTCAATGACCTGTGATGACAGCTGGCCCTCGCGTGCTGAGCTCCAGGAGATCACAGGAATTTAAAAAAAAGAAGCCAACCAAAACCTGATGTACAGCCTATACCTCTCCCACGCAGCAAGAGAAAAGCGGTGCCTGGATGTAGGCTTGCTTTGTGTGCAGAGGGAGACATTGCCAGCGCTCAGGTTAGCGTGCCGGGCGAAGACCGCAGCTGCAGCTCTGCACTATGCAGCAAGAGCGCTCAGGGATAAAAAAACCTGCAAAACTTTCTAACCTGAAAATTACTGGAAAAGGAAAGGTGATGTTCCGTGAGTACAACTGCCCAGTTGGAGGCGGGAACGGTGATAATAAAGTTCACCTCCCTGTATCGCCAACCAGACCCTTAAAAGATGCATTTGATTTGGAAACATTGCTCACGGGACAAAGTCAAACCCGTTCCCGTCCAGCGAGCACAGGCTGTTGCTGCAGCGTATTCTGCACGGGGCATTTGCATGAGCGTCGGCAGGAATGTCGTAGGTCTGCTCAGAGAGCAGTGGCAGGGAACAGATCAGGAGGTAAAGCAGAGAAGTGCATAGTACCCACAAATCATAAATAGAGAAAGATTTAATTACATGCTTGGTTAATATTGACAAACATTGAAGTTGTTGTTAGGTATGTAAATAAAACATGGAAATAAGAGACAGGGGCTGCAGTAGCCAAGCAAAGCCAAAATATAACGGGTTAGAGTATTTATTGTGAACTGGCATATGCCTGGAGTAGGGCACGGAGACAGGCTATATAAACTGAAAGAATAAATAAATAAATATTGACATTGTTCTACACCTGTTTAGCCTCTGGAGACCAGTGATTTGTGGGACCATATGTTGGACAAAATGAGACTGTTCATTGATAATTGTAAATGTGCTGACCCCTTGCAAACTGGATATTAAAAATATTAAGTAAATGGCACATTTTAATTATACAGTAAAGAGGCTGTTCTCCACCATTAAAAGACTGCAGCTGTCAGGAGGAATTGATCATATGACAGAAGGTAATATTTATTTGATAGTGGACCTTGGTAAATGACATCCCAAATGATCTTTAGAATCTCAGACACACACACATTCAGTTCAGACTTGGGTTTAACCATGAGGTTCAGCGTCTTTGTCCTTCAGCTGAGACAATTTTTATCTGTTCCTCATATACTACAGGGCTTGTTTGTTTTTTATTTTGGTTTTAATCTGCTTTGCAGTATTTAAATTTCAAATGAAGTATTATTAAATGAGAAACCGTAAACGATGGAGTTTGGAATTGGAAGTCAACACATTTGTTAGTCTTTTTGCCAAAGGTATCGAGTAAGTTGCATAATTACCACAGTATTATATCATCTTTGTCAACACAAACAGAGCTTTCTGTCGGCTTTGAGAGTGCCATTGGTGAACAATGGAACGTGCAGGCTCCAGAGAGCAGCAGCCCAGGAGGAGCTGAGAGCATTCACAACGCCTTACGAAGTTGCATAAGGAAATGAAGTAGAGCCAGGTAGCAAAGTAGTCACCAGCAGAAACGCCAGACACCCTCATGTGTACGCTTCTGCATCTGAGGCGGACGAGAGAAACCGCGGACGGTTTTCGTAGCTTCCTTCCTGCCTACTGTGATCCGACTTTAAGACAAATGTGTGAAGGTAAAGCAGCAGCCCGTGTGGATTGATTCTTCTCACTGATGCAGAGAAACCCTTCTGTACACAGGGTTTGATTTTTTTTTCCTCCCCCCCCCCCCCGCTCCACTTCTGACTTTATGACGTGCGCGTTCCTTGTCTCACATTGTGCCAATCCTGTGGTGAGGCACTTGCAGCGTCTGAAGGTTGGGGCACGTGAAGTAAGGAGCTGGCAGAAAGCACGCTGCTATTCCGTTGGAAGCGAAAGGGAGCGTAGGCCCGTAGAATACCTCTTCCTTCCCTTCCTTGCTAACATCCAGCACCTGCGGGTCAAAGCGCACAAAATATTTTAGGGATCGCCGAGGAAAGCTGAAACAAATTTGCTGGCGCGCACCACATGTATGTACTATTAATCCCAACAGAAAGGTGGTTTCAGATCACTTTTAGATCGTATTTATTTGTGGCTCTGGTGATCTGTTGCTGTCCTCATCTCCCAAATCTGCACTCAGGAGCAGACGGTGACGTCGGATCCTGCGTCCTGGCAGCAGAACGTGCAGCCACGCAAGCAGGGTGCCCTGCGCAGCAGTGCTACTGTTACCACAGAGCAGGAATCATTTGTCAGCTTGGTGGTGTGTAAGGGAGCTCTGTGGAAGTTGGAAAGGCCAAATAAACAAATTGCTTAAAGAAAATGAAGATAGAAGGAAAAAGGGGATTTTTTTTCTTCCAAAGGAGAGGGCAACCTCAGCTTCGCTGGATTTGAAGATAAAAGGGCTAGTTTTGCTGGTTAAAGGCAGGCACGCTGCCAGCAACGGGGAAGGGGCAGCACACACAGCTCTGCCAAAGCACTCGTTATACTTACTGCTTATATATAAAAGTTGGAAGCTAATGGAAATGTTGTTTATCGGCAAAAGTGCAGAAACCGAGATGTAAACAAGAGTTGTTGTCTGTAACTGCCCAGCTGGTCACAAAGCGATGGGTGTGCTGCAGATTTGCTTCACTCAGAAACAGGCAGAAAAGACAAGAATTCCTAAGTGCTGTACAGAATACCTGAAAGCCACGGATCTGCAGGCGAGCTGCTCTCCTACGAGATGAGAGAGCGGAAGAGTTTGTTGGACAACCTATTGCCTACAGCAGGGATCAAAACACTTCCATTCCAGCTTTGAAGCAGGAAGCGCTAGGGCAGGTTGCAGGCTGACTGAACTTTGTCAAGGAACAACTTGTTAACTCCGGCTGCTCTTCAGAAAGACAACTTGAGGGGAAAAAAAAAGTCACAAGACGGGCTGAAAAATTGTTAGCCCATGCCCCATCATCCATTTCTGCAACCCTTTTACTTTAGAACTTGACTGTGTAACCTGAGAATATAGACCCATTATTTTACCCAAGAGTGGCCAAAGCAAAGACTCCTCAACCCTGTTTTGCTAGAACATCTTACGAGAACCACATCCGTTGGCTCATCTGGAAATATTTGTAATATCCACAGTATTTCCTCTCTGTGTTTGTGCACGTTCGGTGGCTGCACAAGAAACGTCCTTAATCTCTCCTCTTCACATGCATTTTCCTTTTTGAATAGCCTCTGTGCAAAATGTATCCTCGCAAAATCATTGGAAAAGACTTTAAAAGAAACCTAAATCACTCACCTGGATACACGCCAAAGGCTCATTTGTCCAAATCGAGTAGCCGCCAACTAAATATATTCTACCATTGTGGACAGCGACTCCAGACTCATTTTGACCTAAAGCAAAAAAGGAAATAGAAACCACTTTCAGTGTTTAATTAACCCTTTTAACACTGAATGCTGGAGTTCTCTAATAGGACACAAATGCACCTGGCAGTAACTCGACTGTTTCAGAATTCACAACATGTAAGAGGGAAGGTGAAGCGTGAGGGCTGTTCTTTGCTCTCCGCAGGAGCCCCGTACGGTGCTGGCCAGAGAGACACCCCAGAGGAGCAATAAACAGGCTGTGCAGGGGACCATCTGCCGTCTCCTCAACGGCACAGGTTTTTGTACACGTTCATTTCGCAGGTGACAGACAAGCTCCTCACCTGCCCCTCAGCTGCTATCAAGCAGGAACATCCAAATAGACACGAAAGCCGAGAGAGCTGAACGCCCCCTCATGTTGTGCCCACCCCTGTTCACCCCCCCCCTCCCTCCTGATACAAGTGTGGTGAAAACTGCAGCAGCTGCTGCGTGAGCTCATCCCCGTAGCAATGATCTCCTGAACAAGTCTGGAAGGTTTGAAAGATAAATACAGCCTTAAAAAAAAAAAAAAACCAACCCTATACTACTTGGTGTACCAGGCACATCTACTGCCAGTTGCAGAGATGCAAAGAAAGGCTTAGACAGCTTCTTAAGGTGCAGGTTGTGGAAACAACCCACCCACCAGGTTGTACGTGAGGAGAGGCTACTGTCTCACAGCGTTCAGTGGAATAGGGTCAGCTCCAGAACGAGGGTGCCTGCAGGGCCAGCGCTTTTGCAGTTGCAAATCAGAGGATGTCCTTCTCAAAGGCTGCCCGTTCCTCCAGATAATAAAATAAAATAATTAACTGGAGAGCAAAAGGGATACCAAAAACTAGTTCTGTTTGGCAACAGAACCAGTGACTCCTTTTTAATCTATGCCTCCCTCCCCAACATCCACAGAGTACTCTGATGACCTGGCTCAGAAACCAAGCCACCCGTCTCCAGATCCCGAAGTATAAGAAACTCAACGCAGTATCTTAAAGGAGTAAGAAACCCAGTGCAATATCTTAAAGAACACCATTGCCATTGGAGCAGCTTTTAAACCTCCCAGAAGGAAAATGGCACAAGGTGACTGTCTTATTTGTCAGATGTTCCTTTCTCTGACAAGGTGTTTCTAGCTACCCTGACCTTCTAGTAAGCTCCTACACCCTTTGGGTCCTTTTCAGTGGTAGGTCTCAGAAATCAATGCAATGCCAAATGGAAAAAGATGACAAGCGGGGTAGGCTCAGTTCTAGGTCTCCTAGAGCAGTCTGCGCTGAAACTTTTTGGCAGCCAGTACTGCTACGAATCGAGCTCCAAGTCTGCTGCACAAGAGAATGGCCCCAACACGAACGCTGTCCTGTCCTGGAAATCCATCCTCTTCTGCAAAGCTGGTGCTACTCTGAGAATGCGCCATGCGCCTGTCTGTCCCAGGGATTCGAGGGGGTAGTACATCTGGGAGGTGAAGGTGAAACCGGGTGGACTAGGTGGCAGGGACAGCGAGTTGCAGCACTTGGCAAGTTGCTGCTGTAACGCTTCTTCCTAATGATGGTCAAGAAGAACTTTACAGATCCTGTAGCTAACTGAGCTGCTCAACTCATCCCTGACTTGACAGAATTCCAACAAAGACGCCTCCTTTCAGGTGATTTATTAAGAAAATACTGTTCAGAAATAAGTGACAGTTAATGGACTTCAATTAAAGCTTTGCCCTGTAATGGCAGCAGAAAGTGCTACAAAACAATGTTATGGTAGAGACACATCTGCCTGTTGTACACTCAAACAGGGGGCTAAATCTATCACTGCAGGCAAACTTTTGGAGAATCAAAAATAAGTACTAGTAATACTATGACAAATTATTCTTGATTGCTTAATTAAATTAGATTTACGTCCACCTTCTCACAAATTTAGCCTGCAATGTCCTAAAACAGATGTTTTGTAGAACACTGAATGCCAGAACAGTAACCAAAAGCATCTGGTTGGCTGATGATGGTCCCTAAGTCAGAAGCAACGGCAGCAAAGTCGTGGAGTTCCACATATTGAAGGCATCTAAAGGGAAAAGGACTGATGCTTTGTATTAACAGTTGTGAGTTTCCCTTTTTGGTGTACGATACTTGCCTGTCAACATGTTGAAGCTGCAACGTGTCCATTGGTCAGCCTCTATGCTGTAGGAGTCTATGTGCCGAACGAGGATCCGATCGTTGTTGTAGTCGAGATCGTTCCCACCTAGCACGTAAAGTTTCCTTTGGACGGCAGCCATGGAGTGATACACTCTCCTCTGCAACATCGGGCTGCGGCTTAACCACTTATTCTGGAAAGAGAAAGACAGAACTTGTCTCAGCACTGCTCAAAGACATACCTGTATAAATAGTACTGTAATAGTGGTGAGATACTGGTGTTCTCCTCACCCTTGGCCAGAAATCACAAGGGTATGTACTTGTGTCGTTCACCTGCACGTTGGGTATAACGCTGACTTCCAATAATACTGGACTTTCAACACGCGGTTTGCAGTTCTCACATTTATATTCATTAATTTAATAGTATTTCTTGCTCTGTATTTTTTCTATTTAGCTCATCAGGTTGCAAGGCTTTTTTTCTTCTTTATAATTCAGTAGCAAATCCTCCTTAAGCAAGACTATTAGATGTCTCCTTTGTATACAGTGCTAAAATTATCTGTACCAACTAGCTCTGTTATGAGAGAAGAAAGATTCTTCTACCTTTCGTTATGCAGCAGCTTATTTGATCTTATCCTTGGGGAGTGAAGCAACAGGGAAAAATAATTTCCTAAAGAATCTTTTCGAATGATTCATGTATTTGGTTTAAAGCTAAACCCTTTATTTGTGGGCACTTACAAAGTAACGTCCTTTTGCATATTTTTCTTCCTGGTCAACAACGTTCAAGAATTCTACCTGTTCAGGGGAGGGGCAGGAGGACACGGAAGAAGGGGGATTAAAGCACAGTATTTTTAACCTAAGAAAACGATTGCTCCTGCTACGCTTGCCAAATCGAACAACCTGGCAATGGACGAGATTAATTTATTTAAGAGGAGGAAGTTAAAATCTGAGGAAATTCTTTGCATTACATGTGCTACCGCTCGCGGTAACTCAAGAGCCTCTAATACTACTGCCTTTTAACCCCCGCAATATATAGCCATACATTTCAATGTGTAATAGTTGAATATTAGGCATTAATGTTTGCATTAGCAGTCCAGTCTCTTAACACCAGACTATAGACACCATCTGCTTCGCAAAGCCTGCCTGCATCCCCTGATTATATCTTTAGCTTCCTCCACTGCAGTGCCTGCCAGGTGAGCCGCAAAGCGCTGCAAAGGCAAAGAAACGGAGGGGCCTGGTGGGGTCATTTCTAATAAGCCGGCGTGTGAATACTAATCAGTGGCGGGGAAGCAGAGGTCACCCCAGCCGGCTTGTTGGCAGGTAGCTGTGTGCTCTGTGGCAGATGGCAGGCATTATCGACTTGCCACAAAGGCCTCGCGCAGAAGCAAGCGCTGGTGCTGAATGATAGAGTTATTGAGATTCTGTGCGAGATGCAAGCAGATGTGATGGTTTCCAGTACCCACCGTAAACAATATGCCAGCAGAATTTTTAAAAAGAGCTTGTGTGTACAAACACGAAGCAGAGCTCATTTGAAGAACGCGAGCGCACAATTCCTCTGTAACTCTTTGCACGCCGGGCTGGGTTTCCTCGCCGTCGGCGCAGCACGCCGGAGGAGCCCCGCCACTGGCGTTTTGGGGTGCAACTTTCACGGCAGCGAGTAAAGAATCAAAAGCATGAGATACACAACGGAGACGCAGTATCGAAATACGTGTGCCCCTCATAAGCAAAACAAGGTTGCTGCCTGCCATGACTACTTGGATTTACGACAGAATCAGCGTTTGGACAACTGAGGTATAAAACTCCACCTCAAAAAGAAAAAGCCAGATGTGCCATCGCCTGCTTTCTGCTCCAGGACCCGTATCTGCAGTGCTTTAAAAAGTCAGTGGGAACCACGTAGAAGTATCTCCAGGCACAATTTGGTTCCAAATACAGCAATCAAAGCCCCTACCCTACAATCAGAAAAGTCAATACTCTTCCACGTGGGTGTAAATCAGGCTATGCAACTCTGATTGCAAGCTCAGGACTTTTAATTCCTAATACAAGCAAGAGGGCATAACCATGCCCTAACCCTCTGAAATGGTTACTGAGCCATGCTAACCTAATCAAAACACATACATAATGTATGAAATAATCCCTAAAAGTTATTTTAGGTGCTTGGGTAATGAAATGATAGGCACCCTTGCAGCCAGCAGAATAAGTCATGGCCAGGTATAGTTCTGAAAGTATGCAGAAAACAAAAAGCCCCATATATGCAATTCAAAGCACAAATGCCAATGACAAGGAGCAGTTTTGTGACACTGACTTTGAGTATACATTGCCCAGGGCTGCTGGATTACCAAAAAAAAAAAAAAAAAAAAGAACAAGAAAAATAAATACTGATAAATACAGGGGATTTAAAACACATTTCTGTATTTAATCTAAGATGTTCCTAATGCCTACAGGCTTCAAAAAAACCCATAATGAAGTCAGGGTCTCCACTACTCTGTACTCTGTTAAACTCACACATCAGTACAAAGTGAATTTAAAACACCACTAATTCAAATGGTCAGCATTTTTAGCCTTACCAAATCATTGTATGTCTTTGCTAAGAGACCCATTTGAAGAAAAATACATGAGAAAAAACACATACAACACAAATACTCACCTGCTTAGGATCATAGACCATGAGCCTGTTTTGATACTGTGCAGTATTTGTTACTCCTCCTGTGAAAGAGTTTATACAGGTTATGCTTTTTCATATAAGCAAAACCAAGACCAAGGTACAGCAAAACGACCAATTCTAGGGTTCATTTGCTGACATAATTACATTGCATACCACCACTTATGCTTACATTCCACTGTGCTTTTTAATCTGGTTACAAGACAATAAGTAGTACACTTGTCAAACACCTAGAACAGCAACAACCAAATGGCAACAACATCACACCCCCCCCCCCCCCATTTCCTTTGTAAAGCTGATTCTATGGGCTAAAAATGAGATAAAACCTGATCTGTTTATGAATGACTGCGTGTTCAGCAGTCGTCAAGACGCGAAGATAAAACCCATTCCTGTTCCAAGGAGCGTGCAGTGTACGACACGGTTTAAAGAAGGAGGAGGTGGGCTTGTAGAGAGAAGGAAGGGGTCGGGAGCAGCTCTGCCTAACCAGGAGCTTGATGTGGGATACCACTGCCAGCTGGAAAGCATAGTGCAAACCTGTGCAACTCCATAGTGACTACCACTTACTTTTCAACAACGTTTAGAAAGCAAGGCATAAAGCACCTCAGGAAAGCCCAGAACAGAGTCTGACCCCAGTAGATGCTGCAAACTATTTACCTCAACACAGTGCACGTTTAATCCCCGATCGTCCTGTTCTCTATTGGTTTTAAATGGCAAATCTCACTGAGTAAACTGGTGGAAAAATTCCTTAGTCTCAAGCCTGCAGTCTTACCTGTGTAAGCATGTTCTCAAGTGTGCTCAAGCCTCCCGGGGACACAGTGTCACTGCAGCACTGCCACAGGTCTCAGCACCCCGCCTCTGTCACCGCCCTGGGCCCATGGGAAGATGGGACCAGAAATAACATTTGCAAGCTGCACCTCACCTTTCATCTTACCAGAAGGTCTGGACATAACTAGGGCATGCCAGTGGCCACACACCAGTGAAACTCATGTTGACAAACTTTTTATATTACAGTTTTAACAGCAGGTGCCAGCGACAGACAAAATCCATAGCAATGAGGGGAAGGAATTTCTTCTGTCATTACCTTTACTGTTGCTTTTCTTTTTGTGAGGACATCCCCTGTTTCAGACAGAGCAGTTTTCATTCCAGGCCAGCTCCTGCTATGGCCAACGTTTGTGGGGTTTTTTTTTAATTTTATCCCCAACCAGCGTTAACAGGGCTCCGTGCTGGGGAATCCTCATTTTGCCAGCCTCCATCTGCACCTAGTGCAGCATTTTGGTTCAGAGCCATACTGTGATTTTGAAGCAACTCCCCCACCTCTCACATCTCATTTTAGGCTGTAGGGTGGGACTGGTGTGCATTCAAGTTAAACCAGAAGCTCTGCTCCAGATGTGCACCAGCTGTGCTCCAGTTCCTAATGGGGCATAAGGGTATGAAATAATAACAGGTCTTTTGGATGGCTTTGTACCAGCTGAGTACTGGGAACAGAATAAATCTAGTTCAAAGCAAAGAATATGAACTGTACACAGAGCAGATATAGGGAAGTCAGTACCCAAGTTTTATCTGCTGATCCGCTCCTACTGGGCTGAGCTACCTGCTAACACAGATGTACCCTCTGATCACTCCGAATAACTTGAGCGAGGCCAAGAATCTGACCAACAGAGAGCAGAAACTACAGACAAATCTATTCTAGAGCCTTGTCTTCAACCGCAGTAGCAGGGGGGACCAACGCTGTCGTCTGGGCGCACCTCTGCCAGCACCAGCCGGCACGGGGCCCCTACGCACGGGCGGCAGCAGAGGCTCAGAGGCGCTTACAGGCTAAGGGGCAGCTGAGGCGAGATGTAGACTTTCCAAACCGCTTCCATCACACTGTGCCACACGCTGCCCATCGCAGCACCTGTGAAGTCAGCACGCAAGAACACGCCTTGGAAAGCAACGACTGTTCCCGTGTGTAATCTCGCAATCAGTTATTTGTCCCTGCACTGTTGTGCAGCCTTCACAGCGTTAGTGGCCGTCGGCCACACGCACAAAACAATCTTTTCTAATATCTGCCTTGTAATTTGATTTTCTTTTACATAGTTATTTTCACTCCTAGCGTAATGTTTAAAAATGAGATGTCAGATTAGTATTTCGAGAAATAAAAATCATAGTTATTTGGAGGATTACCTCCAGAATCTTCAACTACAGGAGATACATCAGAAACATGATGCTGGGTCATGTATTTCCATTCAGAAAGGACATCTTAGTTTGGGGGGAAAAGATGCGGTGGAAGAAAAGAAAGGGGGTTGCTTCCTTATAAAATAATGAAAGAATCAAATAAGCAAAATTATTTGCCTCTCTTCTCAAAGAGCCCCTCACATCAAGTACACAGCTTACGTTTTTTCCCCTGCAATATTGCTCATCTGTGGTGTTTTATCATTACATTCCCTTCACATACCGCTCTTATTTTAGATTAATCTGCCAAAATGAGATGCTAAGGATTTGCATACAGATTTGACTACACAAAAATAGATCTGGAATTAATAACAGTCTCTATATGTTTTAATTTCTTCTAGACTGGAGTACCCTTGCCTCCAGCAGTATTCCTGGCTTTGAAAGTCATCAAGCTGATTTGTCTGCTCTTAGGTTATGATGCCACATGCTGCTACACTGTCCCCTGCAATCAAAGTGTTCACAGAGATAGATTCCATGCCTTCCTCTAACAAGTATATTTTATAGATTGGCAGTTTTGATCTCCCCTCCCCAGGGGGATAATCTGCATCTTAACAGGTTCTATAGATACATCTGTCATTAAATATGCCATCTTATATCTGCATCAATTTTCAAACTCAAGTTCCTCCTAACTTTGAAGTGCTATAGCAAAAGTTTAAAATTTTCTGCCAAAATTCAAATTTAACAAGTCTGCAATGTCCTCTTGAACTATTTTTTTAAAAATACTCCAGGCAGCTGGGAAAGGGCAAAAGAAGAGCAATATGTCTCTTAAAAAAACAGGAAAAGGAAAAAAAAAAAGTTCAAATGGTGCTAAAAATAATACATATTTTCTCAGAAAAAACTGGCGTAATTCTGAGAGAATTTCTTCAACTTCTCTGCAGTGCTTTCTATGAGGAAAGGAGGGGGAAGGCAGGGAGGCATTGTAACAATACTTGAAAAGAAGTATTTAAAAATATAAACCATGCTATTAAAATTTGATGTCAAGCAATAGCAGCTAATGTGGTAGTAACCCACCAGTTAAAGAAAGAGGAAAAAAAAGTCTGGCTGGGTAAATGGCAGAAAATTTACAGTTTGGTCAGCGCTGGCTGGGTTTTATAAACAGAGCAACGACTGCACTGGTTTGACCTGAGCAGCTTGCTGTGAGGACTAGAGTTTCTGGGAGGCAAGCAGCACCCTCAAGACAAGGCTGTGTCTTTCTTGCTCTTGCAGACTTGAGAACACGCTCTTGGAAAGCCCAGCATCCAACCCGTCGGCTTACAACACTTTTACACTGCCACAGCCACTGCTGCTCCCTCCCTTGCAGGCCATAAACCCTGCTTTTTAAGCCATCCAAGACCCCTAAGTTCCAAATTCATGCAACAGGGCCCCTCTACACGGGGAAGCTGCTGCAGGATTCCAAGACCACCCTGCCCAGCCCTTCCCCACACGTGGGCAATATTTCAGGTTGTTTCAGCCCCCCAAACAGTCCACAAACTGCACTGAAAAACACCTTCAGTAAAGACACTTCCAAAAAGAGAAGGGTGGGAGGCAGTAGATTCAGCACCATTTCCCCAATTGAAAATTTATAATCCGTATTTATAATACATCCTAGTAAGACCCCCATATGACTTGAGAAATCTAATCAAATCCAAATCCCCCAGAAAATCTCACGACTCTCTCCGAAGTCCCCAAGTGCTAGGCTGCGTGCGCGAATCCGAGTTCACTGGGAGATGTGTAAAACTACATGTTGGCAAAGAGCTCCCACGTGTATTCCTTCCAGCAAATCCAGGGAATATATAGAAACTCATGACATGCGCCTCAAGGTGCTCTGCTGTTTTAAAATAGAAATCTCTCCTCTCTTACATGTCTGTGTGTTAAACACGAGATAATCCTTCCTCAACATTCAAGCCCACTGCCTTTTACTTCAGCCAGCCCAGGTGCAGAGCGGAGAGCTGAGCTGGAGCATATTCTCCCACTCTAAGAAGTCCCCTGGAAGACACCACCAGCAGCTGTAACTAACACTGGTCCACCGACGCAATACAGCTGCAAACAAGAGGGGCACAAGCCCTAGTTTGTTTGTGGGTTGGTTGGGTTTTTTTTTCCAATCATTAAAGCCTGATGTTTACATTCATTCTAAGAAGAATCAGTGGCATCAAACATGTTAATGTCCGTGCTTGAAAGATGTGAGATCCATTATCTTTATTCAAATATGATTACGATGATGATAATAATAAAAGAAACACTGTTCCACATACAGACTAAGACAGTCACTGAGGTAATTTGTATGTACTTGTTAACCTCCCGCTCCTGGTAATTTCTGTGCCAGCTGCACCACAAAACTTGATTTGTTAGATACTGCAAATTCCTATTTATTCCAGATCTGTTTTTCATAAAAGAATTTTATCGGCATTTACTGAGAAAAAAAATTTTCTTCTCCTCACAACAAACAGCACACTGATAGCAAGGTAATACTTTTCACCCCGAACCACTTGCAAACTCAGAATAATTCTCTGAGATATGCGATCTCCATCATTTCCTTGGTCAAAAACTCCACCATTAGGGGGGAAAAAAAAAGTAATAAAAAGGCTCTTGGATTTTGAAGAAAAAGCTGTTAAATATGAAGCAACGGTACGGGGTTGGCTTGTTTACTCCCCCCAAGTTGAGTTTCCGTGTGCATGTCAAGAGGTGGTTTTAGTTGACACACTTAAGGTCAGGCAACTCGGACCTCTGCGAAACAACAGCGTAATACCTTGCTTTTCATGTGCTAATCTCTTGGGCACTCGAGGCGGAGGGGAAGCCTCGTTATCCCCAGCTGCAGGTGCAGGAATGGCCCAGAGCTGAACTGCCTGGCAGAGGTCCCCTGCCCCTCTCTGTCCCCAGGGGCTCTACCCCTATAGGGGAGGAGGAAGGTGAACGTGTATAGAAGAGTGGGTCTCGGGTTTTGCATGTGCGCGCCACGGAGGATGCAGGGAAACGGACAGAGTTCAAGTTCTCTTATGGAAAATATTTCCCTGCTTTTATAGGGAACGATTGTTAGTAATGTTGAACTCCAAGGGGTTTGGTGCATTTTGTTTCTCTTTCACTCAAATACTTCACTTTTCAAGCACGCGGCACGCAATTCGTTTGTGAAACGGGTCACGGTGTCAGATGTTAACTGGGGCCTGTAAGATTCATCTTTCTATAAAATTTCAGAACCATCTGCCCGATGCTGTACTGTCAATACAGAAAACTTACTTTAATGAATTCTCATTTACTTTATAAAATAATAAAATAAAATGCCGGCTGTGAAAAATAAAACAAGATGAAAAAAAAGATGAAACAAATATAAAAATATGTTCTACAATATACGGAGTTCAGAAAACTTGAGAGCTGAACCCGCTTGTGCTGACCAGGGGGTCTGACTAGTTCCAGAGCGCAGGAGGCTCCCTCTGAGCCTTCTGGCGGGTTAAAAAACCCAAAGGGGTGTTGGCAGCTTAGGAGTCCCTCTGTCACCGGAAACACCAGGCACCCATCTCCTATTGCCAGTGGGTGCTTACGCTTGGACTGCATTTTGTTTAGCACACTTCCCTTCCCTGCTGCCTTTGCCATCATTTTATGCTCTATTATTTTTGATTCCTTCTCATAGTTGTCCCAAAGGAGCAGCAAAGTAAAGCTGAAAATGCATCCAAATAATAACAATAATAATAACAGAAACCCCTTCAGTCTAGGCAGCTTTTGAGCAGCAAAGCCTCTAGAAGACAAGGGGCTGTAGCAGAGGCACTGATGCTTTGGCTGTAGCACAAGTAAATGGTCTGTGTGCAGGTCAGGTTTTGATGACGCTCTCCACAAATACAAGGGCTAGAAACTTATATTACCACTATTTAATTTATTCACTTACTAAAAAACTGGGCACATTTTCATGGTTACCTTGCCAGTTGGTATTAGCATCCTGACTTTGAGAGCTCTTGCTGATGACCTGTATTTCCCAGAAAAAGCAGCAGAAGCACAGCTCAGAAATATCCCTAACTCAGACTAATTTTTTAATTACTTAATTTTAGGCCACATAATTCAAAATCAGGTTCTCTCCTGCATTACTGATTACTCTTATGCTAACACCATATATTTGATAACGAACAGTGAATCTTTTCAGCAGTGACTACTGGTATTTTTGGAACAACAAGATGTCTCTCCGTACCATTCCCCTGCCCCTGAATATACATGTACAGAGAGCTACCTTCTGGTCCTAAGCAATTAATTAATAATAGAAAGCTAGCTACAGGTATTGCCTCTCCATCTACTTTTATTTTTAAAATACACAGAAGCCAGTTTTCAACCTGAGTACATAATTTGGATCAATATCCTACTGAAGTATTGCACAGTATGCTCTTGTTCTTCATGATAACCTGTCAGAATCTAGCAACTCAAAACTAAGCATTTTCTCAAAAACTATTAAAACCAAAAAGTCCTGTCTATCTTATTCCACTGCTAAAACATTGCTCCTTATTGTGACTTTACAACACAAGTTACGTTGGTAGAATTTTCAAATATACATGGAACAATACTGTCGAAATATTTTTTGTTGGTTTGCCCAGTTCTAAAGAGTTCATCTAACAGGCTTCCACTTACCTCTTCCCCTGACATTACAGCCGTATTAGAGGCATAGTCTTGAACACAATACCACACTGTTTCATTATATAAATGTAGTTAGTATTTAAACACACAGGCAGGCAGGCATTTCACTTATGTAAGCAAGCACGTTAATTAATCCTCAGTGTCATTTTCGTTTTCCTAGCATATCTGGAAAGATTAAAAGTAATCTTCAACAAGTCCCACATTTGACTTGTTTCACGTACTGGAGCAAGGACCACACTCTGATGGATGTTTCTACTGCTTGTTCAATGATTTTATATGAATACGCTTAAACACAATTTCCTAAAAAGCCCTGTTTTTCATAAAAAGAGACTGAAAACTGTAAACCACAAGAGGAAAAAAAAAATTTAAAAAAATCAGACACAGCAGTAGTAGCATCCATGTATTTGAATTGCCAATCACAGACACACATCCCTCTCCACTGAGAAAATAGGAAAGGTAGTAAATAAACAGGGTAATGCTCTGAACATAGCTCTTTCTAAAGCAGAAACTCTATTGCTGTACCATACCTGGGTCTTAAAGCCCGCTGTGTGCACACTTCAGGATTAACACACAGCACAAACTCTACAAGACTCCTCCAATGCCAACTGCTGAAGAAAGCAACCCAAAGCACCTGCCAGGGATCTTGGTGATTTTCTGCGTTCTGTTGTGCTTTTAATTCCAAAGTAATCGTTCATGATTTTAGTGTACTTATATAAAAATAGATACCTGCCAATACCTCCCTCGCCAATGCTTGGGAAGCCATTACCTTAAGGCACTTAATCCATATGGGCAGAAAGGTACATCTGCAAGTTGCTGTGCTAACCTAAATTATACACTTTGAGAAGCACAGTGAAGGCCTAAGGAGCTAACTTAATCTTTCATTCATATACCATCTTTTCACCAGAGGCATCCCTGACCATATTAAAATCCCCAGAGGGTATCTACAGTGAAGACAGCAATCACTGAACATTTTCCTCAAGGGCTGGCTCCATTTACTCATTAACTTCCTTGATAAATATTACAACTTTATAACCTTCCACGACATATTTCTTACTAATAGGTGGATATTTTTCTGACAAATCTTCTGTAGACAGCATTGACCTTATTCCAAAGTAACTAATACCAGAAAAGTCACTACAAAGACTGATGACACAATGTCTTCAATTCCCATCAATGTGCACATGTAAAATAACAAGTATATCAGATTGAGTTGCAAATTATATGTTAGTTTAAGATTACAAGGCTTATACATTCATCTATCTGTGCCATAAAAATATGATTACATCCAGGCAGTCCTCTGCACTTGTCATGGACAGTCAGAGCCGTTCATGATTTCTAACGAAGGTCGTCTTGGCCTGTTACAATATCCTGAGAAGCAAGTGGGAGCAATTCATACAGCTGCCTTCAAGCCCTGGATCAACACAAGCCAACAAGCACTTAATTCTCCATTTCATTACGGGGAATAAGTGGCGTGGTACCAGATCATACTACAGAAACTGAATCTTGATTTTTGTTTTTAGAAAGCACACAGAATTTGTCACCTGGAATTTGTCCAAAAGTACGTTATCATTCCAATTCACTGTGATTTATGAATGGCGACTGGAGATAGCACATACAATATATGCAGATTTGAAACACAGAGAGATATTTAGCAGACAAAAATGTTCTGTAGGTACGTTACGCTCCTATACTTTTAATCAGGCTTGATTGTGTGCTTCCAAGCTTAAATTCTTTGAAATACCCATCTCCTGAGACAAAAGTTATCATGAAATATAAACCAAATAAGGCTTATTAGTTTCATTCGAGACAGTATTTTGGTATTTTGTTAGTACCTCAAACTGTGTGAAACGTTTTCTACCTGATATCCAAAGAAGACCATCCACCACATATCCTGCATGGCATGAGAGCGATCGATCAAAGGACTGTACAAAGGTCCACTTGTTCTTCTTAGGGCAATAGCGTTCCACTGTAGGTAACACTTGACGCAATTCATTTCTGCCCCCTACAGCATAGAGGTACTCGTCCACTGCTCCCAGGACAAAGTGTTCCCGACAGTTCTTCATTGGAGCTATCTCAGCCCAAGAGTTAGTGCGGGGGTCGTATCGACAGGCAGTTCTCACCGCACAAGTGCGCCCTGTGGAGTGCTCTGCCTCTCCACCAGCTACAAAAAGGAAGTCTCCCATGACAGCAACACAGTGGTGGCTTCTCCCCACAGGCATGGGCGCTAGCTCGCTCCAGTTCGCAATCCCTGCGATATGAACGTTCTCTTGATCTACTGGATTGAAGTATCGCAATTCCTTCACTTTACAGATTTCACGTTTTTTCCCACCAATAATGTAAAGAGTGTCTGACTGGAAGCGAGGTTTTGTCCTTCTGGTTTGCCAAACTGGCTGTGCATAGATGCTCTGGTGGTAAGCCAAGGCCTCATTAATAAGTGCAGTCGCAGTTTCACTAGCTTGGACAAGAGGATGAGAAAGAGCTACCGTATGCAGGGTATCGACATCCATAAGGCCAAAGCGGACATACTGGAGAAGTTCATCCATGTACTGGTAGCGGCAGTTGTGTTCCAACCACCTCACCGCCAGCTAAAAGTGAGGGGGAAGGAAGGGAAAAAACAAGACACCAATTATTTGTGTACAATTCTGTCAAAATCTGGTCTTTTGAAAACTGCTTGCATTACAAGAGCAGCTATATACTTGTCTCAGTGGTGATGCTAACAAATACGAAAGGAAGTTATGAAAGCATGTGAATGAACCTAAAAGATATCTACTAAAACTCCACCTACAATATACATAAAAGCATTGTATTGCACCAGTTCCCCTAAAGAATTCCACAGCATTATCAGATGGCAATACTGCTACGCAATACTTTTTCTGCTAGTGATGCTGTAGGAGACTACAACATCCCTGAATCAAACTGCTGGAGCAATAATATAAATGCAGGGACTATGTGATCACTGGAGACCATGGGTACACTGGAAAGAAAATTAAGATTACAGTTAGATGAGTAGAAAGAAAAGCCCTTTCTCCCCTCCATCTGTCATTCTATTTATGACAAAACACTGAAGGAATATAACAAAATACTGAATCCTTCAATATTTTTTTTCTTCATTTATTTTATTCATAAAGTGGAAAGAGT